GTGTTATATTTTTCCCTGAAATTTTTTGGGACAAATTATTTTTTCTTTAGTAAAACTTAAACTCCACGCAAAGTTACATACAATATAATCGTTGACGTTTACGGTTGTAAGACGTGATTGATGGTGTGAATTTTTCGTTTACAATTAACTCACAGTGACAAAGTATAGATTTTATTAGAAAAATATGTTCACTCATTCGGGGCATCAAATTGTTGTTTGAATTTTGTACCTGAATGTCAAGAAGACAGTTTAAGAAGAAACAAAAAGTAAAAATAAAATTTAAGGTTGGGGCATGTAATAGTTATGTTATCTTTGAGACGAAATTATTCAAATAAAAGTACCCATTGTTAATGGAAAATGTCACCAAGATACGACGATTTTTTACTTGTATATAGCGGTACTTCACATATACAAACATTCAGCGAACAATACTATTATTTGGTATTTTCAGGACTCAACAAAAAATCAACAAACACAATATGATATATGAATTTTTCAAAAGGTAATACAAAAGCTCCTAAATTTCAAATATATTCAATGATTCATGTATGTGGGTATTATAAAATACAGAAAAACACCTCTAACAGATTTAAGCGTCAAAAGACACTTTTTTGGAAGTGCCTGAACAAGCATGAACAAATTTGGAAGCAAAAACTATTGACGGCCACGAGCTGACTTTCTGAACTGTCGCGGGCCGCAAAGAAGTTCGTAAATGCTCATACAGACTCCAAAATCATGTCCGATGTTTTTCCTACCCGTCCCAACAAATCCTATTAGAGTTATAACATGTCTAATACATGAATACAACTCGTTTGGCTTGTCCAAATTGACCTTATTAAACCAGCCCTATAGACAGATTTCTTTGCTAGAGCTCCATCTTTATCTCGACTTCCTCTATGACCACTTCTAGCCATCGTCAATTACATCGAACCTTTAAATACTTAGCAATCAGCGCGCCCAAAAGTGGCTCTAGCTATAAAAGGCGTTGGTGTGGCCAGTCCAAGGGCTAAACCTTCTTTCTGATTTGATCCCGTGTTATTGCGATCTTTTAGTATTCTATATTCAAGGCTCTTTTTTCTACTTTTTTTCTTGATGATCTTATGTCATTCACCTTAAAATTATTTTGAGAATTTTTTAAACTTTTCACTTACGAAAAATGAAACTATAAAATAGTCAAAATTATTTTTTCTTATACAAATCACTAGTACAAAGTTAAACTCCAATGCCAACAAATTATTAGACGTGGGAGTGGCTAACATGATACGACAAAGGGACACGATACAATTAAAAAACACAATTATGGAGATAAATGACATGAACATGACAAAAAATCACGAAAAAATAAGAGGCTAAATTTCATTTATTTTTTTATCATACTTATAATTACATAAAATAATAACACAATAATACGATAGTAAAACACGATGCAGATGCAACACAATATAGATTTCAATGAATAATAATCCACATTATAATTACAATACTCTAACAAATAGATGGTAGAGTTGATATGAAGAACTAAATACATGTTACCCACATCTCACGGCATTTTTCCCAACTAACAATGGTTTTATCCTGCAGCTATGTAGCATGTACTACCTCTTGTTATTCTCTAATATCATTATCATCACTACTTTTAGGAAAAGTACTATTGTTTGTTCATTGACCACTTTAGCGGGGTAGCAAAATAGTGGTGCCCAACTAATGAACCAAACTCTTTAAACCTTTTTATTTTATTTTATTTTATTGTTAAGTAAATAACACGAATGTAATTTGGTAATTAGTAAAGAGCATTAGATCCATAAGTTTCTTTTGCACAAAGTATGTGCCTCTTTATAGGGTAGCTTTCAATGCTTATAGCTCTTATGCAAGAGTTAATCATATGATGTACATTTGTTTTCTTAAAACTAGATAGATTTCATAAACTAATGTTGATTAATCAATCATTTGTGTATTTTATAATTATAATAATTTAACAATGTAATTAATGTGTGATTCTTTTCTAAATAATTAGGGCTTCGTAGTTTACAGTTGTTAAAGCTACAGAAAGATAATGAAATGTACTTTTCATTATTGAAACTCATAAGCAAGATGATATTTATATATAGGAGGCCCACGTACATGAGCTGTCACATGCTTAATTAACCTTCTAACTAACATATTTAACTAACCTCATTAAAGAACTAATTACACTATAACTGATATATTCCAATACACCCCCATTTAAGCCGAACCAGGAGAAGAGCAGTCTTTGGCACGCATTGGCAACCGAGAGCATAACAAATGAAAGCGGCCAGGAGAAAGAGGCTTTGTAAGCAAATCTGCAGGTTGCAAATTTGAAGGCACATGTCTAACTTCAATCACTTTGGAG